CAGGTTGCCGCTGCTTGCTACTCACCCGACACTACTGTGGTACCACCGTCTAGGTCACCCTGCCCTCCCGCGTCTGCGTCACATGTCACAGCACAGTCTAGTCCTAGGTCTCCCAGGGTCGTTCCCTGAGTTGCCCTCCTCCCCAGCACCACCATGCACGCCCTCTATCGACGGTCAGCTCCATCGTGCCCCTCACTCCTCCTCGTTCCCCCCTACCACCCCACCACTACAGACCCTGCACATGGACGTCTGGGGCCCCGCCACCGTCCATGGGCCGCGTTGAGAGCGCTACTTCCTAGTGCTTGTCGACGACTACACCCGCTACACCACCGTCTTTCCCCTGGAGCAGAAGGCCCACGTGCTTGACGTTCTCATCCCGTGGTTTGTCACTGCGTGTGTCCACCGCGGTCTCCCTGTCTTGCGTCTCCACTCTTACCGTGGCGGCGAGTTTGCCTCCGGCGTTCTTGGTCGTTTCTGTCGTACGGAGGGCATCCCCCAGACGTTCACCTTGTCGGACTCCCCGCAACAGAATGGGGTCGCTGAGCGACGCATCGGTTTGGTCATGGAGGTGGCTCGTACCTCCATGATCCATACCGGTGCACCCCATTTTCTGTGGCCATTCGCCGTTCGCTACGCCGCTCACCAGTTTAACCTGTGGCCGCACCCCCAACAGCCGCAGGTTTCGCCGACCCTTCTTTGGACCAGGTCTCCTGGTGACGCGTCTGTGTTTCACGTTTGGGGCTGCCTTGCTCACGTTCGTGCCTCTGGCACGGACAAGCTCACTGCCCGCACCCTCCCCTGTGTCTTCCTCGGTTTCCCCCTTGACTCTTCCGACTGGCACTTCTACCACCCGCCGTCTCACCGGTTCTTTCACTCCCGCGACGTCACCTTTGACGAGTCCGTTTCCTTCTACCACCGCTTCCCCCACCGTGGTCCCCCGGTTACTCCCCCCCTAATCCTGGTTCCCCCTTCCCCGGTTGCCCCTGCCCCTCCCCCTCCCCCTCCCCGTCCTGCCCCGCCAGGTGTGTCTCACGTCACCCCCCGTACGTCGGTTGTCCCGGTGGAGGAGTCTGCTGAATCAAGTAGCCCTGCGGCGCAGTCCTCGCCGCCTGCCCCTCCCCAGGTGTCTCCTCCTCCGCCGCCGTCGCCGCCGCTGTCGCAGCCGCCATCACCGCCGCCGCTGTCGCAGCCGCCATCACCGCCGCCGCAGCCGCCGCAGCCGTCATTGCAGGAATTCGTTGACTCTGGGGGTGCTGGCGTTGGGGTGGGTACTAGTCCTGGGGTTCCTGTCGTGGCTTGTCCCGGTGGGCCTTGGGGTGGTACCGGTTCTGGAGGGGTTTCGGGCTCTGGGGGTGTTCCTTCTGGGGGTGCTGGAGTGGAGTGTTCCGGAGGTAGCCGTGGAGCAGCTCGTGGACCTGGTGTCGGTGTCGTGCCACCGCAGCAGCAGTCACCGCCGGTGTCAGCCCTTTGCCTGCTCGGCCGTCCGTCCCTTGACCCCGCGTCTGTGCCTCTCCTGCGGTCTCCTCCTCTTCCTGTCCAAGGCCTTGTGTTCCCTCCCCCAGACTCGACTCCGACTCGTCTTCCCCCTCGTTCCCCTCTTGTGTCCCCTCCTCTGTCTCCTGACCCGACGCCTCCGTCTCACGTCTGGTCTCGCCGTCCCTCCCGTGCTCGCCCCGTCTCCCCTGTCCCGCGCTCTCACCCTATATTGCTTCGTTCCCACGCGTCTCGTCCTCCCCTCCTCCCGCCGCCTCCTCCGTCCTCCCTTGTTGTTGCGCCTCCCCCTCTGTCAGACTACCTTCGTGCCGCTCGTCCTCTTGTTCCTCGTGTCCTCGCCTCTCTCGTTACCGACCCGTCTGTTCCAGTCTCACGTCTTGACGCTCTTGTCGTTGCGGTCGATGACTTAGCCTCTACTCACCGCCTTGACTACGCCACTGCTCTGGTCTCTGACCCTGCCTGTCCTCCGTCTGTCAGGGGTGCTCCGTCCCTCGGCAGTGACGTTCTGGAGGACCGCCATTACGAGCTTGATTTCCTGTCCGAGGGTGCTCCCCATCTCTGTTCCATGCTGCTAGTCCCTGAGGGTGACCCAGACGCTTTCAACATCCCGACCCCTCGCACTTACGCTGAGGCGACATCGGGACCTTGGGCCTCCCGGTGGATAGCTGCCATGGAGCAAGAGATGGCATCTTGGAGATCCACCGGCACCTACGTCGACGCAGTTCCCGCACCTGGGGGGAACGTAGTCGATGGCCGCTAGCTCTTCAAGGTGAAGCGCCCTCCTGGAGAGCCGCATGTGTTCAAGGCGCGCTACGTGGCTAGAGGCTTTAGTCAGTGTGAGGGGGTGGACTTCTTTCAGACCTTCGCCCCAACCCCGAAGATGACTACTCTTCGGGCGCTCCTACACGTAGCAGTACAGCGTGACTACGAGTTACACTCCCTCGACTTCTCCACTGCGTTTCTTCAGGGCAGTCTACACAAGCAGGTCTACCTACGCCGACCTCAAGGTTTCACTGGTACCTTCCCTCCTGGGAATCAGTGGCTCCTGCGTCGCTAAGTCTACGGCTTGCGCCAGGCGCCCCGCGAGTGGCACAACACGCTGTGTTCTACCCTTGCAGACCTGCTGTTCTTTCCGTCTTCCGTAGACCCCTCGCTCTTCGCTCGTTCTGGCCAGACTCCGTTCTACATCCTTGTTTACGTAGACTATCTGGTCTTTGCCACTGCAGACACCATCGCGCTGGCCTTTGTGAAGGCTGAGCTCCTGAGGAGACACACCTGCACTGACCTAGGAGAGCTGCGCCACTACCTGGGCCTGCAGATCTTTAGAAACAGAGCAGCGCGCACCATCATTCTCACTCAGTCACACTTGGTGCACCAGGTCCTTCAGAGGTTCGGTCTTCAGTTCTCCTCCGCACATCCCACACCTCTTCCAGTAGATCACAGGCTCTCTGCTCCAGTCCCTGAGGAGTCAGCAGAGCCCAGAGGTCCTTACGCAGAGCTGGTGAGTTGCCTCATGTACCTGATGACTTGCACTCGTCCAGATCTCGCATACCCTCTCAGCATCCTGGCTCACTTTGTGGCCACAGGCAGACACCGACCTCAACACTGGTCTACAGCGAAGAGGGTTTTGCGTTATTAGGCTTGGGGTTAGTGCTGGGATGACGCAGGCCAGTGGTCCTTTCTGGGCACACAGACGCTTCTTGGGCAGACGACACCGAGACCCTCAGGTCCTCACAGGGCCATTGCTTTAGTCTTGGCTCAGGTGCTATCTCGTAGTGAGCTATTCGCTCTTCGTCTGTTGCCCAGTCCAGCTGTGAGGCCGAGATCTACGCCGGTGCCATGGCGGCACAGGAGGTCCGCTGGCTAACCTTCTTGCTCACTGACATAGGTGAGCGGCCTAGCTCTGCCCCGGTCCTGTACGCTGACAACAGGGCCATGATCCTCCTGTGTCAGGAGCCTCGAATTGAGGGCAGAGCGAAGCACATCCAGCTGCGGTACTTCCTCCTGCGCGAGCTGCAGCAGCGTCGCCACGCTCTTGTAGTACACTTGGCCTCCGGTGCCAACACAGCTGATATCTTTACGAAGGCGCTTGCGCCTAAAGATCATCAGCGGCACTGTGTACAGCTTGGTCTTGTTCCTGTTGTACAGCTTGGTCTTGTTCCTGTTGCCTCGCACTTGCTAGGACCTTGACTGTGTAGAGACATTATATATATGTATTATCCAGACTAGCCTTGTGGCTTCTCCTAGTGGTTGGACTAGTAGTGCCATCTTGGTCTTGCTCCTGTTTTGTCTAACCTCCTATTGACTGGTCTTTAGACCCTTGCCTCAGAGGCTGGACTAGTAGTGCCGCCCTGAGCTACCTGTTCACGTGTTAGGCACTGCCCCTATATGGTCTAGGGGGTGTGTCAAACTTATCTTAGTATGTTACTGTAGACTATACAGGTTTGTGCCTTAGAGGGTACAACTCTCTAGCTTATATTACCTTGTACTCTCCTTTCTAACCATCATTCAGTTTTGAGGAGCGCGACCATTACGCAAAAGTTCAACTTCACCGAGAAACGTGGCGGGGTTCTCCGGTACTGAAAATGACGGGGTGAAACAAAAAAATACCTGGAAAAGCGCAGTGGGCTGACAATTTTTGTCTCATTTGTGCGAGAGACTTGTTCTGACTGGTTGACGCGCCTCTCGATTTTCGCCTAGCCTATTGCGAGAATCGCCAACACTCCAATCTCGCTTCTCCAACCTGACACACCCCTGATATTCGGGAGCAAGTGGGTGATCTGGGGGTATTCCGGACCTCGAGAAAACGTTCGCCTTTTCAGCTGGAACTTGGATGGCTGAAATCGCCATGAAACACTGATTCCAATGCACATCTAAAAAATTCGGTCATCAAATATAACACCAGGGTGCTATAGCCTAAACGCGAAATAGAGCACCCACCCCCCTGATTTTGCATGATTTTTGTACTATATCCGGGGTGTTATATCCGGGGGATTACGGTATCGCGTTACTCTCCCGCCTAAAACGCTACGTTCTAGCAAAAGGACTAGCGAGTACACCGCACCAAAAGCAAAGTGGGGGTCCTCTTGAAAACGCCCGAGGGGCTGGTCGCCAGCGTCGTCGTTGGGGTAGGTTCGGCGATTAGGTAGGTTTAGTCTTGCGGCAAATTTGGGTGTCGCAAACACAGTGCCAGTGCCGCGCGCCAATGACGGTCCTCGTTCCTTCTCGCTTCAGGTTTTGGTTGTGTTTCGTTTTTTATTCAGAGCTGGAAGTAGGAATTTTTTACTGCCAGCAAAAAATATACAAGGTTCAAGTGAGCCCCAGCTTTGTGTTTTTAGCCAAGGGCTTTAAATTTAATAAGAGAGGGACTATAAGTGCGCTGCACTTGGTAATTTTTTGAATCCAATATAAAAACTTCGAGAACATCCAGTAGCGAGTATTCTGAGTCCCTCCCCCTTGATTTTGTCAAACAGATTCTGACGGACAAGCCAGCTTGGACCGCAGGCTTAGCCTGCCAGCACTGGCCATTCCGTGACTCACCTGACGCCACCTCTCCCGCTTCCGAAAGGGGTTCTGCTCTTCCCGCTATGAGCGCGGAACCAGCCGATGGGGCTGCGGATGGATCCATCGCAGCACCCTCGCCGTCCGATGCCCCCTGTCCCGCGGTGACGTGGCCCGCCGACGGCCAGATCTCCGTCGCGTGGGTCCGCGAGCTCGCAGCGCGTCTGGAGCACGCGTCGCGCCACGTGTCCCCAGAGGATCTTCCCACCGTCCTTCCCGTGGCCACTGTGGACGGCATTCTCCTCGCCTCGTATAAGATCCTCCATAAAGAGCCCAACGTCGTGCGCGTGTGGCCGCAATCCGCGGCGCCAATCGCGGCGGCGGAATCACGCCCTGGCCCGTCCACGCGGATCGAAGCTGCCGGAGATGGCGGCTTAAAAGACGGGGGGAGTGCTGCGGACGGCACGGATGGGAACGACGCGGGTAAGGGGACGGCGAAGAGGGAGGAAGCAGCGAGAGAGGAGGGGGAAGCGACGCGACGCGATGGGAAGGCTCCCTGCGAAGAGTCGGTTGTAGGCGAGGAGGGAGGAGAAAGGGGAGGGAAAGGAGAAGGAGACGGAGGCGGACGAGGAGGAGAACGGGGAGAGGGAGGGGAAGGAGCAGGAGCAGCGGCAAGGGGAGGGGGAGGCGTGCAGGTGGTGGTGGTGGGCGACGTGCACGGGCAGCTGCACGACGTGCTGCGACTGCTGCAGCTCACGGGCGAACCCTGCGACTCGCGTTTCTTCGTGTTCAATGGCGACTATGTGGACCGCGGCGCGTGGGGCATGGAGACGTACCTGCTGCTGCTGAGCTGGAAGGTAGGAGGAGCAACGAAGGGAGGAGAAAGGTGTTTTGCGGGGGCGGTGTGACACGAGGGAGGTGTGATACAGGGGACGTGTGACACGGGGCATGAGATACCCTTCTTGGAAGGCCTAGGCATACACCCTCCTTTACGCCCCTTCTTATCACCCCCTCTTACCACCCGCTCTCATCCCTCACTTATGGTTCCACCAGTCAGCAACCCACCCACATCCGTCCAGTTCCCCCCTTCCCCCCTCCCCCTTCCCCCCCTCCCTCTTCCCCCCTCCCTCTTCCCCCCTTCCTCTTCCCCCCTCCCCTTCCCCCCCTCCCTCTTCCCCCCTCCCCTTCCCCCCTCCCTCTTCCCCCTCCCCTTCCCCCCTCCCTCTTCCCCCCCTCCCTCTTCCCCTCCCTCCTCTTCCCCCCCTCCCCCTTCCCCCCCTCCCTCTTCCCCCCCTTCCTCTTCCCCTCCTCCCTCTTCCCCCCTTCCTCTTCCCCCCTCCCCCTTCCCCCCCTCCCCCTTCCCCCCCTCCCTCTTCCCCCCCTCCCCCTTCCCCCCTCCCTCTTCCCCCCTCCCTCTTCCCCCCCTCCCTCTTCTCCCCCTCCCTCTTCCCCCCATCCCCCTTCCCTCCCTCCCCTTCCCCCCCCTCCCAGATTCTCTTCCCGCACCGCGTGTTCCTGCTGCGCGGCAACCACGAGACGCTCTTCTGCTCCATGCACTACGGCTTCCAGAACGAGATCCGCCACAAATACCCCGCGCCCTCCGCCTCGCACCTCTTCCGCCGCTTCCTCGCCTGCTTCGAGTCGCACCCCCTCGCCGCCCTCGTTAATGGCACAGTTTTCGTCTGTCACGGGGGGCTGTTTAGGAACCCAGAGGAGGGGGAGAAGAAGGGGGGGAGGGGGGGGGGCGGGGGTGGGGGTGGGGGCGGGGGAGGGAGAAGGGGAAGGGGAAAGGGAAGGGGAAGGGCGGGAAGGGGAAGGGGAAGGGGGGGCGCGGGGGGGATGGTGGGAGTGAGAAAGACGCGAGGAGGAGGAGGGGGAAGAGGGAAATACCAGAGGTGGAATTAGGAACCATAGCGGATCTAGAGGGGACTCGCAGGGGGATTCTTGACCCCCATGGCACGGGGTCGCACGCCATAGTGGCGGATGTGCTGTGGTCCGACCCGGCGGTGAAGGAGGGGCTGTGCCACAACGCCACGCGCAACATCGGGCTCGTGTTTGGCCCGCAGCACACGCAGATGTTCATGGAGGCACACGGGCTCAAGGTGAGGGGGAGGGAGGTCCGGGAGGGGGAGAGGAGAAGTGGGGCTTTGATATCGACGCAGAAGCAGGCTTTGAACTCGTGTTCGGCGCGCAGCACACGCAGATGTTCATGGAGTCGCACGGGCTCAAGGTGAGGGGGGATGGAGGCGGTAGTGGACGAGGGGTGGGCCTTTGAAGTGTCATAGAAGCTCAGCAGCACGTCTGTGTGTGCCTAGGGTTTTGTTTTTGGCCTCCAGCACACACAGATGCTCATAGAGTACACGGTGGGAATGCACGGTGAGCAGAGGGTAGAGAGAAGAGGGAGTCCAAGGGAGCGGGACTTATCAGTCATTATAGAAGAGGGGGTAGGGAAAAGGGTCTGATCCGCCTAATGCCACAATGCTTCATTTAGTTCCCCCTCTCCTTCCTTCACATTCCTCTATCATCCCGACCTCATCTCTCTTCCACCGTTGGCTCCCCTCCTCTCTTCCCCCCCCCCCTCTCTCTTTCCTCTTTCCTCTCCTCTCTCCTCTCTCCTCTCTCCTCTCTCCTCTCTCCTCTCTCCTCTCTCCTCTCTCCTCTCTCAACGCGCCATCAACATCCACCATCCTCTCTCACGAGGGACCAGACCAGACACAGGGAAGAAGCAGCCAGAGATGAGGGGACCACAGGTGCCTCCAGAGCCCCTGCTCCTCCATTCATATCATCCTCTCCCTTCCCCCCCGTTTCTTCTCCTCGCCCCCCTCGTCCCCTCCTCTCAGCTCATCATCCGCTTGCATGAGGGCCCGGACGTGAGAAAGAAGCGGCCGGAGATGACGGCGATGAACGACGGGCTCATCGTGGACCATGAGGTGCCGTTGAAACTCCCTGCACCTCCATTCCCTCTCTCCTCTCCCCTTTCCCCCTGTCTCCGCCCCCTTCGCCCCCCCACCCCCCCCCCCCCCGCTGCTTCCACCAGCTCATCATCCGCTCGCATGAGGGCCCGGACGCGAGGGAGAAGCGGCCAGAGATGAAACCAATGAGCGAGGGGCTCACAGTGGACCATGAGGTGCCGGCCGGCCGACTCCTCACCCTCTTTAGCGCGCCCGACTACCCGCAGTTCCAGGTCCGTGTGCCCCTCTTCGCGCTCCCCTCGTTTGAGGCGCCTCAAACGAACCCCAGGTCCAGTCCGGGTCTGTGCTCTCTTCCCAGTGCGCGCCCAACCACCCTCACAGTTCTAGGTCTGTATGCTCTTCGTTTGAGGCGCCTCAAACGGTCCAGTCCAGGTCCAGGCCAGGTCTGTGCTCTCTTCTCAGTGCGCGCCCGACCACCGGCAGTTCTAGGTCCGAGCTCCCTTCTTTGCGTTCCCCTCCCTGTTTCTGTTCTGTTCTCCTCCTGTTCCTCCCCTTCTCCCCCACTCTGCTCTTCCCCCCTGGCCGCCTTTCTGTCTCCGTTGTTCTCCGCTCTGCTCTTTCCCCCTCCCACCCATACTTGACAGGTACGAGCATCGAAGCACTCTGGTCCAAGCAGCAGTAACCCCTATGGCTGACCCCTCCTGCTCTTTCCAATGGATCGTCTATGCCCTCTCTCCCGCTCTCCCTCTCTCCCTCTCCTCTTCCTCCCCCTCCTCCTCCTCCTCCTCCTCCTCCTCCTCCTCCTCCTCCTCCTCCTCCTCCTCCTCCTCCTCCTCCTCCTCCTCCTCCTCCTCCTCCTCCTCCTCCTCCCCCCCCTCCTCCTCCTCCTCCTCCTCCCCCCCCTCCTCTCCTCCTCCTCCTCCTCCTCCTCCTCCTCCTCCTCCTCCTCCTCCTCCTCCTCCTCCTCCTCCTCCTCCTCCTCCTCCTCCTCCTCCTCCTCCTCCTCCTCCTCCTCCTCCTCCCCCCCATGCCTCCATCCCTTCACCCTGACAGGCGCGCAGGCAGCGGTACAGCAACAGAGCAGCGTACCTGGTGTTTGAGGGGCCAGACTTTAGTGAGCCTCAAGTGCACCACTTTGATGCCGTGCTGCCACGACCCAAGGTACGATGCCACCACTTTCAATCCATTCGATGCCTCTTTCTCCTGCTTCCCGCCTCCCTCTCTCCCCTTTCTACCCCCTCCGTGCGATCTTCTGCCACAACTTCTCCTCTCTTTCCTACTACCAACTTCCTCCTTTCCTCTGGTTTCCTGCCTGGTTTACTTCTCCTGGGATGCTTTTGCCTTCCCCTCCATCCCCCCCTCCGCCTCTACCACTCTCCACCCTCGCCCCCATCTCTTTCCCCCTCCCTCTTGCCCGTTCGCCCTCTCCTCCCCCCTCCCCAGGCCACTGCCTTCTACGACTACATGAACTGCTTGGACTCAGACGATGAGATCGACCTGGGGAGCAGCGACGGTGGCAGCAGTGACGGCGGTAGCAGCGACGGTGGCAGCAGTGACGGTGGCAGTGACACGAGGAGCAACCAAGGGTCGGGTAGCGAGGGGAGCGAGGATGAAGGTGGGGGGGATAACTGGAGGAATCGCACGAGAGCAGGCGCGAGTAAACGCGTGGGGTTGGCTGGTTGAGGTTTGCTTGTGCGATGGCAACGCGGCTCTCTTGTGGGGCTGTGTACAGTGGTTGACCTGAAGCGGGTTTTACAGCAAGTAGAATTACCCAACTGTCGTAATAATTATCTTACGCATCATGGGTTGTGGGCTGGCACTAATCATTCGTTTTAGTCAGATATGTTCGGTTGGGGCAGGCTGAGTAGTTAGAAAGGATTGTAACACATCTAGCTAGCTAGCACGATATGAAAAAACCGGATGGAAAACAATACCGGAATGCAGCGCACTAAAACTCTTGGTACCGCACTCTCCGAAACCAGATCATCTCACACCACCGAAATACTAGGCATCTCAGCATTAGCTCCAGTCCAAATAGGTCCCAAAAACATAGAATTTGGTAATTATTCGAAGTTAGACATGCCTCAAAGCGCACCGTATCGTAACCTGGCCTTTCTACGACCGTAACTCATAACTCTGTCGACCTCCAGCCACTGATTATCGACATGAGGCTGCTATACTTCCTCCTAGCAGCCCTCCCTTTCCTACTATGCTACTCCTCTCGTGCCGCGTCGCAGGTGCTCGATGCACCCGGCGGTGCAATTGGCGGCGACGGCGGGATCGAACGAGCCATGTCGCTGTATCGGGTGAGCGATCTACTGCGACGCCATGCGATGGTTTGCGACACTATCCCTGTGCTGCCATGTCAGTGCCAACGCCAGTTTCGGATTCGCCAATTATAGAGCTCCTTAGAACAGTCGAGACGGATCTGTGACCTCGGGGTGCGGGCTTTACCCTTGTCCATTAGCCTTACCCTCGGAAGTCAATCCTGCAGCACCGACGGCAGCGGCGTGAGGTTGCAGGGTTTCTAGCGACGGCAGCGGGATTTTTCGTGTGTACATTCAAAGGTTTCTGGCGTTACGCTGACCGCCATGCTGGAACGCGCGATCTGATTCACGAGTTCAGGCTCTACAAGCGTCCAAAATCCCCCTCGTCTCAATGGGTCTATATAAAACCCCCTCCTCCGCTTTAGGCGGAGCGTGGCTTCGCTTCTGGTGAGAGCTGATGGAACCATGCTGCTGATGAGACCACCCACTGGGTCATTACTCCCAACATCGACCAGCAGCTCCCACGTGGAAGGCCACGTTGGACGCCACGTGGGACGCCACGTGGGACGCCTTCGATCGAGCACAATGAGCCTGATCAGCACGGCTCCCTCGATCGATGCGCTCGTGGAAATTCGCTGCGCATCCCTCTTATGTCCCTCTTATGTCCCTCTTATGTCCCTCTTTCCGGAGCGTACTTATGACTATGTTGCCCTGCAATGCGGTTGCCGCGAGTCCTACGCTACCTTCCTACGCTCACACACACCCCCGACCCTCCCCCCCCTACCCCCCTTCCCCCCTACCCCCCTACCCCCTCCCCCCTCCCCCTCCTCCTTCCCCCAACCCCCTCTCCCCGACACAGGCGTGGGAGGACATCTACGGTTTGAAACCCGCCAAACACCTTCCCCCCGCCAACGTCTCCCTTCCGCCCAACGTGCCCCCCGCGCCCCACCTGGAGGACTGCGCGGCGCGCACGGCCTTCCGCCAGGCCGCGGAGCAGCGCGGGGCGAACGGGGAGCCCCCCGCGTGGACGCGCCCCAGCAACTGCTGCGGCTGCAACCCGCAACCACCGTGGGTGAGCCGTGAGCCTATGGGTGAGGTTAGACCGTGGGTGGGATTTTAGCGTGGGTGAGCAGGCAGCGTGGGTGAGGCTTGAGCATGGCTTGAGCAAGCAGCGTGGTAGATCAGATCGTGGGCGAGCCTTGAGCCTCTTTGCGACCTCTTTGCGACCTCTTTGCGACCTCTTTGCGACCTCTTTGCGGCCTCTTTGCGACCTCTTTGCGGCCTCTTTGCGACCTCTTTGCGACCTCTTTGCGACCTCTTTGCGGCCTCTTTGCGACCTCTTTGCGACCTCTTTGCGACCTCTTTGCGGCCTCTTTGCGACCTCTTTGCGACCTCTTTGCGACCTCTTTGCGGCCTCTTTGCGACCTCTTTGCGACCTCTTTGCGGCCTCTTTGCGACCTCTTTGCAGCCTGTGTGCGTTGGCACAGAGGGGCCTGTGAGGGCATCAGTTCCCTGTAACCCTACTCCCGCTGCCCCTTTCCCCTCCCCCCCTCCGATTCACCGTTCCCTCTGTTTTCTCCCTTAACGTTTTCCCCCCCTCTACTCTCCCCCACCCATGCCCTCCCTCCCCTCCTCTCCCCTCCCTTCCCCTCCCTTCCCCTCCCCTCCCCTCCCTCCCCTCCCCTCCCATCCCCTCTCCTCCCCTCCCCTCCCCTCCCCTCCCCTCCCCTCCCCTCCCCTGCCCTCCCCTCTCCTGCCCTCCCCTGCCCTCCCCACCCTTACCCTCCCCTTACCTCCCCTCCCCTGCCCTCCCCTGCCCTCCCCTGCCCTCCCCTGCCCTCCCCTGCCCTCCCCTGCCCTCCCCTCCCCTCCCCTGCCCTGCCCTCCCCTCCCCTCCCCTCCCCTGCCCTGCCCTTCCCTCCCTTCCCCTCCCCTCTCCTCACCTCCCCTCCCCTCCCCTCCCCTCCCATAGGTGCGCGGATCTGACGCGGGCAACCTGGCGCTAACACGCGTGGTGCAGAGGGACCTGTGGGAGCACCAGTTCCCCGCCTCCTGCGCTGGCAAGCGCCTTCTTATTGTCGACTGGCCCAAACCGCTCCCTGCTGACGCTGCTGCTGCTGATGGTGCTGCTGCCGCCGCTGGTGCTGCTGGTGTGGCTAGTACTGGGTCGGACCTTCCGTTGCTGCTGCAGTGGGCGGCAGCAGCGCTAGGGCTGGCCGTGCGGTTTAATCGTGTGCTTGTATTCAGGGGCGCTTTCCCCCCAGCCAAACACGGGCAGTGCAACGGTAAGGGAGAACGGGGGGGGGGGGGGGGAGAGGCGGAGGGGGAATGGAGAAGAGGGGGGGGAGAAAGGGGGGGTGGGGGCGGGGATGGTGGGGAGTGTGGTGCAATTGCTGTGTAGTGCTTGACTGGCAGTAAGGGCCTACCTTCTCCTCCTCGTGGCACATTCCGCTTTCAGAAAGGGGCTTTGGCATGCAGTTTCTTGCCACCAGCATGCAGCTTCTTGCCGCCAGCATGCAGGCTCTTGTCCTGCATGCTGGTGGCAAGAGGAGAGCATTGAGAGAGATATGGTCCAAATGCCTCTCTATAGCTGTGAGACGACTCATTTCCAACCAGTTGCTTCAAATTATTTCCAGATTTATTAGGGGCATTCCTTCCTGTTCGCTTCCCCCCGCCCTCCAACCTCGCTACCTACCCCCCTCCCCTACGCCCCTCCTGCTTCCCCCCTCCTTCCCCCCTCCTTCCCCCCTCCTTCCCTGCCCCCTTCTCGCCCTCCGCACCTCCTCCCCTCTGCCGCGGATCTATCAGCTCTAGCCGCTCTGCACAGCAACTTCCTAACCTCTGTCGCTCACGACTGCAACCCGACTCCCGCGTCCCCCCCGACCCCGCCTCTCCCCCCTCTCCCCCCTCTCCCCCCTCTCCCCCCCCTCTCCCCGTTCCCCCCTCTCTCCCCGCCTCCCTCTCCCTCTCCCTTCTCCCCCTCTCCCCACCCCCACCTCCCCTTCCCTGCAGACCTATCGGCGCCGGCAGCCCTGCACTGCTACTTTCTGGCCTCCGTGTCGCAAGACTGCGAGCGCGCAGCCCTGGACGCAGCAGCCGCCAGCACCAGCACGGTGCCGCCGTGCGTGGACATGGGGGCAGGGGGAGAGGGAGGCGCGGAGGGAGAGGCGGTGATGAAGGGGCAGGAGGCAGTGGTGTGTGTCAAAGGGGGCTCGCTGGGGGTCGTGAGGGGCGCAGACTTGCTGGGAAGACAGGCAGGCGCTGCTGAGTAAACGCTCAATCTTTTCGCTCAACTTTTGTTCCACAACTTCTTTATCCTTCTTTTCTGGCCTGTTTTTCCACACCTACACAAACTTCTGCCACCGGAAATTGTGCCCTGCCGTGGCCTCTTCTGAGCTGGTCGAACGTTTTTTCCCCCTCGTTCCGGAGCTACCCTGCTGTGGCACTCGTGACCTTACGAGTGGATTCTTTGGTGCAACCTGCACTCTGCAATCTCGCTTCAGCGCTCGCACTCTCCTTCTCCCCCTCCCTTCTCTTGCAATTCTCCTCTCTCCCTCTCTCCCTCGCTCCACTCTCCCACACTCCTCTCTCCCACTCTGCTTACTCCCACTCCCCACTTTCTCCTATTTTACTCTGCTTTCTCGCACACCTCTCTCTCTCACTCCTTCACCACTGTCTCCTCCCACTCTCGGCTTCCCACTCTCCGTTCCCCCAATGCCGGCAGTCGATGGGGCAAGGCGTACCAGCAGCGGGCGAGTCTGTTAGAGGTGGAGGGGGTGCTCAGGAACGACGATGCAACACTCAAGGTGGGTTGTGGTTGGGTGGGCGGTGGGCAGGCTTGGTTGGCCGGCTTGGTGGGCAGGCTTGGTGTTTTGAGGCTGTCAGTAGTCAGCAGGTGGGCTGCAGAGGCATCACATCCCACGGGCATGGAGCTTTGAGGCGTTTCCAAGCACTGCTGGAGGTGGACGGGGTGCTCAGGAACGTCGATGCAACGCTCAAGGTGGGTGGGTGGGTGGGGGGTGGACAGGCATGTGGGGGGACGAGTACACAGGTTGACAAGTACAAAGGTGATGTATACAGCGCTGTTCCATCAGTGTTCTTCCCTCATTTCCTTCCTTCCTCCTCTTTCCTTCTTCTCCTACACCCGTCTCCCCAACCAACCACCATCCCTCCCACCCTCCCTCCCTCCACCCCAGGCCTACTGGTGGCAGGCCCAGGCCGTGCGCTTCCTCCTGCGCTGGCCCTCCGGCTACCTCTGCCACGCCACCAACCGCATGCGCCACTCCGCCTACGGGCTGCGCGTGGCCACCCACCTGCTGCTCTCGCACGCACAGCAGAGCGCCATAATCCGCAACGTGGCGAATCCCGACGGCACACCGGAGAACATCAACAAGATCAACGGCTCAGAAGAGGCCGTGGCGTTAGCCAGGCTGAATTTCACGTCGCCGCCGAATTTGCACGTGCGGGCGTGGCCTGGGGAGGGGTTTGCAGGGTGTGCTGCGGCGGAGGGGTTGAGTGGGAAAGTGGAGGAGGATGAGGCGTTTGTGAAGTCAGCGGTGGGGAGGACGAGGACGATAGTGAACAGCGACTATGAGGGGGTGGGAGGGGAGGTGTACGTGATGCGGCCAATCGTGAGCGTACAGCTGGCGCTGAGTGGGGACAGAGGAGGGGGAGGTGGAGGGGTGGGTGTTGCTTCAGGAGAGCTGGTGGGGGAGGAGAGGTGGGGGGTGATGCTGAGTGCGGTGATGGGGTTTGTGCATCGGTTGCGGTTGATTGTCCCTGATATGAGATACGTGTGGCTGAGCACCCTGGCTCAGGTATGTCTGTCTGTGCTGCTGGGGCTGATGATACTGCCCTATGTGTGCATGGGCGTGGGTGCCAGTGTGCCACTGCATGGGCATGGGTGCCACTGCATGGGCGTGGGTGCCACTGCATGGGCGTGGGTAACCATCCCAGAACTCTAACCAGCATAACTCACGTGGATCTCCGTCATTCAGTCTACTAGCCCCCTCCTCAAAGGCGCCCGCACGGCCGATTGCCTATGCGCCTGGCACTGCTGAACGCATAGCCGAGATCTTATGATGCAGGAAGGAACTCAGTGCGCCGCCTTGTCCCGATTGCCATGCTGGCTGCTGTCTCCCTCTCCTCCTGCAGTCCCCTCTCCCCCCCCCCCCCCTGCACCCCACTCGCCATCTCATTGCTGATTGTTGACATTCCCCAGTTTTACCACCCCATCGTTCTCGTTCCATCATAGCTTTCCAACCTTGACAATTCTACTCCCCCTCTCTCCCCCCCTCTTCCCCCCTTTCCATTGCCCCCCCTTCCCTCCCCCCCTGCCGCCCCACCAGTCGGTGATTGAGGAGTCGCACCACCATCCTGACTGGACCTTCATTTTCTCGCAAAACGCGCGCTTGCAACGCGACCACGCCTTTTCTGATTATGAGAAGGCGGTGGGGTTACCGGAGGTAACCAGCAGTCGCCTAGCTACACTACTGATTGCGTCGGAGGGTGATTTTTTTGTGGGAGCCAAGGGGTCTGCTTGGCATGGCTTGATGAATGGATTGCGAGCCACAAATGGTCGGGTTTTTGCGGGCCATGTTACATTGGACCTAGAAGAACAATGAATTGGCCTAATGTGACCTACAGTCGCATAAGTTTTCTGAGCACTGCATGTTTCTGAAATTCCATAATAAGCGTGGATCCCAAAACCCCTAGTCAAAAGCTTAGGTTTTGATCCCGGGGCATTTTTGGCTGGGGACCAAGACCTTAGGTTTTGAGTTTGGGGGTTTCGGGATCCAAGACCTTAAAGCTCGTGTCTCATATTTCCAAAGGTAATACGCTTGGTACTAGGTAACGTTGTCAAACATGTGTATCTGTTATGTTTGCATAGACTGTATAGGGTCACCTCTTAGAGGGTACCATATTTAGGTATATCCATCTGTACTCTCACTCTAATTCAACACTTCTCTCATTCTGATATGGTATCACCGTATCACGCGTAGGTTAGGATCCCCCACCTACCGCTTCCACTTGTCACCTAGCTAGGCCCCGCCGCGCCTCCCTCCCTGTGCCCCGTCGTGCCCCCTCGCCTAGCCCCGTCGCGACCCCCCCCTGGGCCCCGACGTACCCCTAGCCCCGTCGCGACCCCCCTGGGCCCCGTCGTGCCCTTAGCCCTGCCGCGCCCCTCCTGGGCCCCTTCGCGACCCCCTAGCCCCGTCGCGACCCTCCCGGGCCCCGCTACGCCCCTCGCACTGTAGCGCCCCTCCTGGGCCCCGTAGCGCCCCTCCTGGGCCCCCCCTTGTGCGGAGGGCATCACCCAGACGTTCACCCTACTGGACTCCCTACAGCATAATGGGGTTGCTGAGCGACGCATCGGTTTGGTCATGGAGGTGGCTCGCACCTCCATGATCCATGCCGGTGCACCCCATTTTCTGTGGCCGTTCGCTGTGCGCTATGCTTCTCACCAGCTTAACTTGTGGCCGCACCCTCAGCAGCCGCAGGTTTCGCCGACCCGTCTTTGGACTGGGTCTCCTGGTGACGCGTCTGCGTTCCACGTCTGGGGCTGCCTTGCTCACGTCCGTGCCTCCGGCATGGACAAGCTGACTGCCCGCACCCTTCCCTGCGTCTTCCTCGGTTTTCCCCTTGACGCGTCCGACTGGCACTTCTACCACCCGCTGTCTCACTGTTTCTTTCACTCCCACGACGTCACCTTTGACGAGTCCGTCTCCTACTACCGTCGCTTCCCCCACCGCGGTCCCCCGGTTACCCCCCCCCTTGTTCCTGGTCACTCCTTCCCCGGTAGTCCCTGCCCCCCCCCCTCCTCCTCCCCGTCCTGCCCCCTCTGGTGTGTCCCACGTTACCCCCCTTCCGTCGGTGGACCCGGTTGAGGAGTCTTCTGACTCTGGTGGCCCTGCTGCGCAGTCCTTGCCGGCCGCCCCTCCCCCGGCGTCCCCTCCCCAGTCCCCTCCTCCACCGCCTTCGCCGCCGCTGCAGCCGTCGTTGTCGCTGCCGGCGCCGCCGCCGCCGTCGCAGCACCCGTTCGTTGACTCTGGGGGTGCTAGTCCCGGTAGCCCTGGGGGTGGATCCTCTGGGGGTGCTGGTGTGGAGTGTGCCGGTGGTAGCCAAGGAGCCGCTTGCAGTCCCGGTGTCGCCGTTGTGCCGCCGCAGCAGCAGTCCCCGCCGGTGTCAGCCCTTCGCCTGCTCGGCCTTTCGTCCCCTGACCCTGTGGCTGTTCCTCTCCGCCCGTCTCCTCCTCTTCCCGTCTACGGCCCTGTGTTCCCTCCGCCGGACTCGTCCCTAGCCCGTCTTCCTCCTCGTTCCCCTCCTGTGTCCCCTCCCCTGTCTCCTGACCCGACTCCTTCGTCGCACGTCTGGTCTCCCCGTCCCTCCCGTGCTCGTCCTGCCTCTCCTGTCTTGCGCTCCCACCCTATGTTGCTTCGTTCCCACGCGTCTCGTCCTCCCCTTCTCCCGTCGCCTCCTCCGTCCTCCCTTGTTGTTGCACCCCCTCCGCTGTCTGACTACCTTCGTGCCGCTCGTCCTCTTGTTCCTCGGGTCCTTGCCTCTCTCGTTACCGACCTGTCTGTTCCGGTCTCCTGCCTTGACGCTCTTGTTGCTGCGGTCGCTGACTTCGCCTCTACCCGCCGCCTTGACTACGCCAGCGCTCTGGTCTCAAACCCTGCCTGTCCTCCGTCTGTCGGGGGTGCTCCTGCCCTTGGCAGTGACGTCCTGGAGGACCGCCAGTTCGAGCTTGCTTTCCTGTCCGAGGCTGCTCCCCATCTCTGTTCCATGCTGCTTGTCCCTGAGGGTGACCCAGACGCTTTCGACATCCCGACCCCTCGCACTTACGTTGAGGCGACCTCGGGACCTTGGGCCTCTCAGTGGATAGCTGCCATGGAGCAGGAGATGGCATCTTGGAGATCCACCGGCACCTTCGTCGACGCAGTTCCCCCGCCTGGGGTGAACGTAGTCGATGGCCGCTGGCTCTTCAAGGTGAAGCGCCCTCCTGGAGAGCCGCCTGTGTTCAAGGCGCGCTACGTGGCTAGAGGCTTCAGTCAGCGTGAGGGGGTGGACTTCTTCCAGACCTTCGCCCCGACCCCGAAGATGACTTCTCTTCGGGTTCTGTTACACCTAGCTGCTCAGCGTGACTACGAGCTTCACTCCCTCGACTTCTCCACTGCCTTCCTTCAGGGCAGCCTACACGAGCAGGTCTACTTGCGTCGCCCTCAGGGCTTTACTGGCACCTTCCCTCCTGGGACCCAGTGGCTCCTGCGGCGCCCCGTCTACGGCCTGCGCCAGGCTCCCCGTGAGTGGCACGACACTCTCCGTGCTACGCTTGCTGACCTGCAGTTCTTTCCGTCTTCCGTAGACCCCTCACTTTTCGTTCGTGTTGGCCAGACTCCGTTCTACATCCTTGTTTACGTCGACGACCTGGTCTTTGCCACAGCAGGCAGGGATGCACTAGCCCCTGTGAAGGCAGAGCTGCTGAAGAGACACACGTGCACTGACCTTCGAGAACTGCGCCGCTACCTTGGCTTGCAGATCTCCAGGGACAGAGCAGCGCGCACCATCACCCTGACTCAGTCACACTTGGTGCGCCAGGTCCTTCAGAGGTTCAGCCTTCAGTTCTCCTCTGCACAGCCCACCCCTCTGCCTGTAGACCACAGACTCTCCGCTCCAGTGTCTGAGGAGTCGGTAGAGCCCAGCGGCCGCTACGCAGAGCTGGTGGGTTGCCTCATGTACCTGATGACTTGCACTCGCCCAGATCTCGCATACCCTCTCAGCATCCTGGCTCGCTTTGTGGCCACAGGCAGACACCGACCGCAGCACTGGTCTGCCGCTAAGAGGGTTTTGCGTTATCTTGCTAGTACATCGGGCATGGGGTTAGTGCTAGGAGGACGCAGGCCAGTGGTCCTTACTGGACACACAGACGCTTCGTGGGCAGACGACGCCGAGACACTCAGGTCTACCCAGGGCTACTGCTTCAGCCTTGGCTCAGGTGCCGTCTCGTGGAGGGCTACCCGCTCCTCGTCTGTTGCCCAGTCCAACTGTGAGGCTGAGATCTACGCTGGTGCCATGGCGGCACAGGAGCTCCGCTGGCTGACCTTCTTACTCACTGACTTAGGTGAGCGGCCTAGCTCTGCCCCGGTCCTGTTCGCTGACAACAGGGCCATGATCCTCCTGTTTCAGGAGCCTCGACTCGAGGGCAGAGCGAAACATATTCAGCTGCGATACTTCCTCCTGCGCGAGCTACAGCAGCGACGCCAGGCTCGCGTAGTACACTTGGACTCAGGTGCCAACACAGCTGATATCTTTACGAAGGCGCTTGCGCCTAAAGATCATCAGCGGCACTGCGTACAGCTTGGTCTAGTTCCTGTAGCCTCTCACTTGCTAGGGCCTTGACTTTGTACTGTCCTTTATATTTATACTCAGACTAAACTTGTGTCCACTCCTAGTGGTTGGACTAGTAGTGCCGCCCTGGTCTTGTTCTTGCCTTGTCTCAACTCCTTCTGACTGGTCTTTTAGACCCTTGTCTCAGAGGTTGGACTAGTAGTGCCGCCCTGAGCTGCTTGTTCAGGTCATTCCCCAATGCAGTCTAGGGGGTGTGTCAAACATGTGTATCTGTTATGTTTGCATAGACTGTATAGGGTCACCTCTTAGAGGGTACCATACTTAAGTATATCCATCTGTACTCTCACTCTAATTCAACACTTCTCTCATTCTGATAAACGTAGCTGCTCCTTGTGCGAGGGCTCAAAAGCAGGGCCTCAGATTACAGGCTTTTTACCTTGATTCAGGGTAAAATCAGGGTTTTTTTCGGAGGTGACCCTGATGAGAGTTTTTTTTTTTAACACGGGCCTGAAATTTCAGCGTTCCTATCCGGCCCCCGCGCCCGTTCCTAGCTGGCCTCCGCGCCCGCCCCTAGTCGGCCCCGCGCCTGTTCCAAGCTGGTCCTCGCGCCCTTTCCTAGCCGGCCCCGCGCCCATCCCTAGCCGGCCCCGCGCCCATCCCTAGTTGGCCCCGCGCCCGTCCCTAGCCGGCCCCGTGCTCGTCCCTCGTCGACTCCGCGCCCTTTCCTCGTCGGCCCTGCGCTCGTTCCTCGTCAGCCGGCCCGCCGCTGGTCCCGCACCCGTCCAGTAGCCGACCCGCGCCTGCTCCGTCACCGGCCCCGCGCCCGTTTCGTCGCCGACCCGCCCCCGTCCCGTGGCCGGCCCGTTCTCCACAGCCCCGCACCGCACTGCACCACTCTGCACCGCACGGCACAGCACTGCATCGCCCAGCATCGCTCTGCACCGCACTGCACCGCTCTGCACCGCTCCGCACTGCACCGCTCCGCACTGCACTGCACCGCTGCTGCATCGATCCTGATGGCGGACTCCGTGCTCCGCTTCGACACAGAGGGTCAGCCGCTCGAGTTCGACATGTGGCTGGTTGACCTCCGCCGTCATCTCACTGGCCAGCGGCAGGACGGCCACTCCCTGGCGGTTCACCTTGACGGTACGCTTCCCTGCCCTGACCCCCATGCTGCTCTGCCCGCTGATCGTGAGTCCACTGCCGCTGCTGCCCTTGCTCGCTCAGTCCGGTTGTCGCATGACGCTGTCGCGAAGCTCGCGATCAGTCATGCCCTCCCCTTGTCTGAGCACCTTCCGCTTTAGGTCGGTCACGACTGCGCAGGAGTTCATAGACGCTGTTGTCAAGCGCTATTCCACCCCGC